CCCCGCACCGACTTGTAAAGCTCGTTTTGGACATGACAACTTGTACTTCTCATTGTTGCATCAGATTTTTCTTTTTTCTTATGTACAGAGTGGTTACGCTGTATATCAGGTAGTAAGTACATTTCTTTTTGGACAGTGTCACCCCTCTGTCTCTCTCTCTGCATAGTAATTTTGACTAAAACAAAAAATAAAACTAAAGGGAAGCTGACATAGTATAAAGGATTTTTAACAGGTAGATGTTAGACAAAGTACATGAAACTACTGTACAAAATGAACTTTATAAAACTTTCTTAATATTCACATAGGAACCTTTTCTTGTGTGTGTGTGTGTGTGTGTGTGTGTGTGTGTGTGTGTGTGTATGCATATTTGTACATGCGTAGGCACGTACATGCACGCCAGCCAGTCCTGGGGCTTGAACTCTGGGCCTGGGCCTTGAACTGGCTTGGGCACTATCCTAGTGCTTTTGTGCTCAAGGCTAGTGTTGTACCACTTAAGCAACAGCTCCACTTCTAGCTTTTTGGTGGTTAATTGGAGATAAGAGTCTCAGGATTTTCTTTCTGGGCTGGCTTTGAACCATGATCATTAGATTTTGGCCTTCTGAGTGTGTAGGATTACAGATGTGAGACACTGTCACCCAGCTCTCCCTAATTTTTAATACTCTAGAAAAGCAGCAGCTAGCTTCTGTAAACATGGCTGGATCTTAAGCAATAGGAGAACTGGTCTTTAGCTGTTCTTTTTCGCTTTGTGGAAATTTTTTGTAGGTTATGAACCTTTTTTTGTTCTCTACTACGATTCTAGGTGTATCAGTATATCTAGTGATACATGCACATATGTTTAAAAACATAGAAAAATACAGACATGCATATGTATGTGTATATATTTTTAAAGATAAACCAGGATGAACTTCAGGAAATGGAAACAAGATGTTTTCTTTGATGCTGTTTTTGTTTTCTTTTTATCTTGTCTGTTCATTTAATCTGTCTTTGGGAGGCCGGGCGGAGGTCGGCACAGAAATGGAAGGACAAAGGATAACAAATGCAGCAGTACAACTCACTAGACACTATGTTGAAAATGAACTATACAACTTCTGGGTGGGGATGAGAGGGAAAAACTGAGAGTGAGGAAAAGGGTGACATTGTCCAAAAGAAACGTACTCTTTATCTGACTTATGTAACTGTGACCCCTTTGTATATCACTTTTATAATAACAATAAAAATGCATAAGAAGATAAAACAGGAAAGATATATTTTTATTTCACAATCAGATTTAAGTTTTTGTTTGCTTGTTTTTGCTGGTCGTGGGGCCTGAACTCTGGCCTTGGAGCTATCCCTCAGCTCTTCAGCTCAAGTGCTCTACCACTCAAGCCACAGTGCCACTTCTGGATTATTCTGCTTATCTGGTGCTGAGGAATCAGACCCAGGGCCTCATGCATACAAGGCAAGCACTCTACCACTGAGCCACCCTCCCAGCTCTTCAGATTTTGGTAATTGAATGAAATAAAAATGGCCTACTGTTGTGTCATTTGGTCTCCAGAAGAGAAGTAGCTAGGTGTAATAATGCATCAAGAACTCAAGGTCACCTTGAGCTTACATAGGAAGATTGAGGTCAGCTTGCGCAGAGGGAGAGGCTGTTCTGAAATGTCTGGGTGCTGGTGGCTCACGCCTGTAATCCCAGGTACTCAGGAGACTGGGATCTGAGGGTCACAGTTCAAAGGCAGCCTGGGCAGGATAAAGTCCATGAGACTTTTATCTCCAATCAACTACCCACCAGAAAACCTGTGGCTCAAAGTGGTAAAGTGCTACCCTTTAGTGGAAAAAGCTTAGGGACAGTGCCCAGGTCCTGAGTTCAAGCCTCACGGTTGACCAAAAACAAAACAATAAAATGAAAGTAATATATGTATTAGAATATTAAAAATTAAGAAATTTACAAAATAAGAGAGAATTTCTGTCATTTTAGCTCCTTAACTCTTCAAGGAAACTACTTAAATGTATTCTGTGAGAACATTTAGAAACCATTATTTGATATAATTTATGACTACTTATTCTTTTAAAAGCCAACTTACTTGAACTTAATCATTCTGTACATATTCAATTCCATTTTTCCCATTTAACATTTTTACAGAGTATAATATCCACACATAAAAGACTAGTTTTTGTATGAGTTTACCATAATTTATCTAATACATATGCTATGGGGTGGTAGGCATTAGGTTTATATCTGCATTGGGACTATTAAACAATGCAATATATATATATATATATATATATTTTACAGGTAACAAGATTGAGGTTTTGACAGATTGCCTATACATTTCTGTTAGAAGATTATACTTGTGTTTACACCTCTAATTTTATTTATTTTAATTTTTAAGACAATTTCGTCTGGGCTAGAATTGAGCCTGTTCCTCCCAGTTGCAGGAATTACAAGCATGTACTGCCACAGTGAACTAACTAACTCATTTAAAAATAGCCAGGCACAGGCTGGGAATGTAGCTTAGTGGTAGAGTGCTTGCCTAGCATGCATGAAGCCCTGGGTTCGATTCTTCAGTACCACATACACAGAAAAAGCCAGAAGTGGTGGTGTGGCTCAAATGGTAGAGCACTAGCCTTGAGCAAAAAGAAGCTCAGGGACAGAGCTCAGGCCCTGAGTTCAAACCCCAGAACTGGCAAAAAAAAAATTAGCCAGGCACCATTGTATCATACCTTTTTAAAATTTATTATAAAAGTATGTACAGAGGGGATAAAGTGACATAAATAAGGAAATGAGTATGTTTCTTTTCAGAGTGTTACCCTCTCCCTCATTTTCTCCCACTTTCCCTCCCTCTCACTTTATTTCCCCTCTCTCCAAAGTTGTAAAGTTCATTTCCAATGTGTATCTTGTGAGTATGGTTGTTGCATTGGTTCACCCTTTGTTCTACCATTTTGTTACTCTCCTTCTGTTCCCCAAATCAGATAAACGTATATAGTTATATACATATGATCATATAAAATGATGCTAATTGAAATGAACTCCCAAGATATGGAAATAAAAGGTTTTTTTTTTTTGCTTTTTGCTTATGTGGTGCTGAGGAATCGAACCCAGGGCCTCATGCATGCAAGGCAAGCACTCTACCACTGAGCCACCTTCCCAGCCCGGGTTGTTTTTTTTTTTTTTTTTGCAGTAAGGCTTCTCATTTATTTAAGTACTTTCCAAACATATACAAGTCAAAGTAAAAAGAAAGTAAATCTTACAAACTCAGATGTTTCCCCCAAAGTGACCAAATCACATCATGTTGAAGATGAGGCTGTCATAGACACAGACATCGTTTATTGCTCTTTGCCCTAGAATACAATTCTCTTAATAGGTGTTTACAGACTGGGAAGTTGGAGTGTAAGATGAGTGCTAAAATTAGGGCCTGTTCACCTCTTTAGTGTGAGTCATGAAAAAAGGGTTTTTCTTTAATGTACTGTGTTATTTCTCCCTTCCCACTTTGCTTTGTCCTCTGTTGTCACTGTTTTTTATTTTGGTACCCAGAGATATCTATATATCTCTATATCTATCTATCTATCTATCTATCTATCTATCTATCTATCTATCATCTATCTATCTATCTATCATCTATCTATCTATCTAGCATACCTTTAATTCTAGCTATTCAGGAGGCTGAGATCTGAGGATTGCAGTTCCAGACTATCCTGGGAAGGAAAATCTGTGAGACCCTTATCTCCAGTTATCCAGGGGGGGAAAAGTGTGTGTGTGTGTGTGTCTATCCTGGGAAGGAAAATCTGTGAGACCCTTATCTCCAGTTATCCAGGGGGGGAAAAGTGTGTGTGTGTGTGTGTGTGTGTGTGTGTGTGTGTGTGTGTGTGTGTGTGTGCGTGCGTGTGTGTGTGTGTGTGTGTGTGTGTGTAGTGTTGCTTAGGATTTGGCAGTAATGTTAATCATATGTCCTTTCTGGAGGTTAATTTGGTGATAGGTTGTCAAGAAACTTAAAAATACTTCATGTCTGATTTCATAATACCATTTCTAGAGATGCATATTAAGAAATACTTAAGAAGTGATTTAACAACAGGCAGAAATTGATGATAGTCTAATGCTCAGTAATAAGGAGACTAATCATCAACTGTGGCATATTAATTCAATGTACATATATAGGAACATTAATGGAAAAATGCCTAGTGATATGAGAAGATTTTTCTGAAATAGCAGAGAAATATAATTGAATTCAGTTGTTTAAAAATGTTCATTTAGTGTGGCTATATTATTAATAATCCTCATGCCTAAGGAAATTTTGTTTTGTTATTTTAATATTGGATCATATTGTACATATGTGTAGGATGAATATAATATAAAATCACCAAAATGTTAATAATATGTCCTTTATGTGGCAGTTATAATTTAGGATAGGTACTCTCTTGAATTTTATGAATGTTTTTGTAGTGATTTTTTTTTCCAGGATGATTCCAGTTGTCTTCCCCTTTTCCTTTTTTTTCTTTCTTTCTTAGATATATTAACATTTTTTGTGGGTCCTGGAGCCTGAACTCTAGGCCTGGGTGCTGCTGTCTGTGAGCTTTTATGCTCGAGGCTCAAGCTCAGGCTCTACCACTTGAGCAGCAGCTCCATTTCTGGCATTTTGGTGATTCATGGGAGATAAGAGAATCTCATGGACTTTTTTGCCTGGGCTGGCTTTGAACTCTGGTCCTCAGATCTCAGCCTCCTGACTAGCTAGGATTATGGGCATGGGCCACAAATGTTCTGCTTATTGTAATGTTTTTATTTGGCTCAAAATTAAAAAGATAGTAAGGGATTAACAGAAAATTTGCTCCTACTTATATGCCCATGTCACTTAGTTTTCATTCTTAAAAGCAGCCTGGGATATCATTGCTCTGTTTATACTCCCAGATGTATTTTTATGTCTAGTATCACTGTAATCAGATCATGGCAACAACAAATACAATGTAAAAAGTCTTTTTCTAAAAGTTAATAATTGGAGTATTGCACTCAGTTGATGAGAAACTTGCTTTGATTTTGAGTCAACTATAATTTCTCAATTGTGTGTGTGTGTGTGCGCGCATGAGCCCACTAATACTTGGGCTTGACCGCAGGGCCTCATGCACTTGAGCCACACCTCCACTTCAATTCTGCTGGTTAATTGGAGATAAAGATCTCTGGGATTTTCTTCCTAGGCTCCTTTATCTCCTGAGTAGCTAGGATTACAGGCCTGAGCCACTGACACCTGGCAGTTTCTTTGAAATAGTTAATGATTGTAATTGGATATTGTGGCATGTGCCTGTAGTCCCAATTACTTTGGAGGTTGAGACAGGAACATCTCTTGAGCTCCAGAGAGTTCAGAGCCAGCCTGGACACAACTTGAGACCCTGTCTCTTGGGAAAGAAGAAAAAAAAAAAAGTTGTGACTGCAAATATGGCGTAATGTTTATCATGCAAAATATACCTGTAGATTTAGTAATGTTCCTACATTTCTAAGATAAGCTTATTTTATTCCTTTTATTTCAGTACTGATTCACATTTCAGCTATTTGTGTTTATTTTTAGGGGAAATCCTGCTATTTGTATCATGGTGTTCATAAAGTTAGTGATCAAAGTGCTCTACAGAATGTTCATGGGATGTACAAAGCTTGGGATATAGAAGAACTTGTCAAACTAGGAAAAAAACTAAAGGCATGTCCCTATTACACAGCTCGAGAACTAAAAGATGATGCAGACATAATATTTTGTCCTTACAACTATCTTCTAGATGCACAAATAAGGGAAACTGTGAGTATATACGTAAAAATTAGAAGAACTTTTCCTCCTGCTTATTGGGATGTAAAGGATAAACATTAAAGCCTTTAGATGTTTTAATGTCTTTAGTTTTGCTTTTCTTTTTGAATTACTGTAAATAAGTTTATATACACAGTACTGAAAACATATAATGATGTATTAAAAACTGAATTTGAGACAGCCATCTTACAAACTTAATTTTAAGGACATAGTAACTACAGTGGGATTATAGCAAGTTTCTTTTTTTGGGGGGGGGGTCCAGTCATGGGGCCTGAGCTCTGGGCCTGCGCGCTGTCCCTCAGCTCTTCAGCTCAAGGCTAGCACTCTACCTCTTGAGCCACAACACCACTTCCGGCTTTTTTCTTATGTGGTGCTAAGGAATCGAACCCACGGCCTCATGCATGCAAGGCAAGCGCTCTACCACTGAGCCACCTTCCCAGCCCTATAGCAAGTTTCTTAACTTGACAATAATGAAATTTGGGGCTAGGTAATTCTTTATTGTGGTCTCTGTTTTGTGCAAGGATCATCCCTGGTTTTTGTTTAGTAGATCCCCAGGGTAGCTTTGTCAAAGTGTTATCAAAACTACCTCAAGACAGTGCAAAATGTCTCCTGTTTTCAGCCATTGTTCTTACCCCTCATGAATAGTTTTAAAGGATTATCTAAAACCTTATCTAAAAAAAATGTTTTCTTTAAAACTTATATTTGAAGGATATATATATTATGAAAATTATGCTTTGAGAACTTTAAGAAATGAACTTCAGCCATGAACCAGTGAATCACATCTGTAATCCTAGCTATGCAGGAGGCTGAGATCCGAGGATTGAGGTTCAAAGCCAGCCCAGACAGGAAGGCCTGTGAGATGTTCATCTCCAATTAATAAACAAAAGGTTGAAAGTGGAGCTGTGGCTTATGTGGTAGAATATTAGCTTTGAGCATAAAAATTCAAGGATAGTGCCCAGGTCCTAAGTTCAAGCCCCAAGACCTGCACACACAAAAAATAAATAAATAAAAAAGAAAATGAGAAAAATGAACTTCAAATTTTATTTGTTTTCTCCTTAGAGATATCAAGTTGTTACAGAATAAGATAATAAGTAAATAATTTGATATGCCCTTTTTTGTGTGTGTATCTTGGTGCTTGAACTCAGGGCATGGGCATTGTTACTGAGCTTTTTTCTCAAGGGTAGCCTCTCTACTACTTGAGCCACAGCTCCACTTTTGGGTTTTTTGGTAGTTAATTGGAGATAAGAATCTTCTGGACTTTCATTCCTGCCTGAACTTCCTTTGAACTGCAATCCTGAGAGCTCAGCCTCCTGAGTAGCTATGAGCCAAACAATTTTTACTTCTTCCTTTAGGTCTGATTATGCTGTTGTTGGTCATGGGCTTGAACTCTGGGCCTGGGCACTGTCTCTCAGCTCTTCAGCTCTAGGCTAGGTCTCTACCACTTGAGCCACAGCACCACTTCCGGCTTTTTCTGTTTATATAGTGCTGAGGAATCGAACCCAGGGCCTTATACATGCAAGGCTAGCACTCTACCACTGAGCCACCTTCCCAGCCCCTGATTATGCAATTGTTAACTGACCCTTAACTCGGTACCTCCCCTCCAAGTCATTGCACATATGACTGCTAAATAAGTCTTCCAAATGTTATTTTTATTAAATCCTTCTTGTACTTAAAAATCTGTAGAACCTTTTGATAAAGAATAAAAAATAATGAGTCCTCTTGTGTGTGTGTGTGCGCGCGCATGCGTGTGTGTGCAGTTACTAGCCTTGAACTCAGGGCCTGGGCGCTGTCCCTGAAATTTTGTTAGCACTCTTATCGCTTGAGCCACTGCTCAATTTCTGTCATTTTGGTAGTTAATTGGAGGTAATAGTCTCTAGACTGGCTTTGAATTTCAAACTTCAGATCTCAGCCTCCTGAGTAACTAGGATTATAGGTGAGCCACTGATACCCAGAAAAGTCCATATTTTTAAAATTTGTATTCGGAATGGTCAATAATGTGACATAGCTTTACTTTTCAGCCTTCTCTACAAAAACTCCCAACTATAACTCTTCTTTATTGTCCTATGGGGATATGAATAACTCTGCTTTTGATGACACCTCTCTTAAAATATTCTGCCCTTTTTGGGGTGAGGGGGGTCCTAATCCAAATCTGAATTTTTTTAATCCCAGTCTATTTTTGATCTCCCATGGTTCTTTCTACATCATTTTGAGTCCTGCTAGTATAATTATAAGTCTTTGGAAGTTTATTTTGTGGTATTTCTTTGCTTGATTAGGATATTTTTATTGCAAATGACACAAACTCAGCTTATGAAGACCTTTAGAAAAAAATATTTCGGTCTCTTGATTATGATGTCTTTATTCTCAGGCAAGCTTTGCCTCTGAGGACAATAAGCATTTAGCTAATGTGGAGAAAAGAACATGGCCTCAAATTAATCCCCTCAAGAAACTGACTGGCCTAGCTTCAATGATAGATCCATTACTGATCCTGAGCCTATTACTCTGACCACAGAGTGATGGAGTATCTTAATGAGTCTGGGTTATGAGCCTTACCTCTGTTGTAATCATGGCAGTGTCTTCTGGATTAGAACAGTAGTCCTTTCCAGCAGCACAGAGGAGTAGGCAAAGAACAGTGCTCAAGATCAAGGGTTACAGGACAGACAAAATGAAACAGCCATATATTGTACTACATTATGTTAGTATCTTGGAACTCACTTGAATCTCATGTTGCTATTTTTATTTTGTTTTCTACTCTTTTAAAATTATATTGGAAATTGTATCATGAGATTCCTTCTCTCTACTCTTTGTATAACCAGCATTACCTTGATCTTGATCCATTCTGTCTCTCTGTCTCTGTCTCTGTCTCTCTCTCACACACACACACAAACACTCACACACACTTTTTTTCTTCCAGTCCTAGAGCTTGAACTAGGGTCTGACCACTGTTTCTGAACTTTTTTATTCAAGGTTAGTGCTTTACCACTTGAGCAACGGCTCTACTTCCAGCTTTTTGGTGGTTAATTGGAGAATGAGTCTCAAAGTCTCCCCTAGCTTTCAAACCACAATCCTTAGATCTTGGCCTCCTGAGTGGCTAGGATTACAAGTGTGAATCACCAGCACCCAGATACATATTTTTTTTCCAATGGTAGATTTTCTAAGTGTTTTAAGATTAGAAAGTATCAAGTTGTAATATAAAACTAGTATTGGGTTGTGCTTCAGCAGTTTGAAGGTTGAGAATCAGTTGCTCATGTAATTGTGCAAGCAGTATTGGCCTTGAGAATAAATGAAATCTCTTACTGCTATTCGATCCATTTTTGCCAAATGTTTTACAGGAAAATTCTTTTACCTTATAGATGGATATAAATCTGAAAGAACAAGTTGTCATTTTAGATGAAGCTCATAACATTGAAGACTGTGCTAGGGAGTCAGCAAGTTACAGTGTCACAGAAGTTCAGCTTCGGTTTGCTCGAGATGAACTAGATGGCTTGGTCAACAGTAATATAAGGAAGAAAAACCACGAACCCCTACGAGCTGTATGCTACAGTCTTATTAAGTAAGAATAATTGTGTGTTAGTGGATTTGTGTTGTCTTTGTATTAAAACATGCTTTACATGCCAGGGTATTTTAAAGTTTGGATATCAATATTTAGACTTGAAATCTAAAACAAAATATTGTTTTATCGTTTGTCCTTATCTTTCCCATCTAAGGAAAATGAACCTATCAGTTCCTCAAATCAAAGATTTATATGATCCTTGATGACTGCCTCACTTCATCCAGTTCATCAGAAGTCTTATAAATGTCCCTAGTATAGCATATCACAACATTCTCCTTTGGGCATACACTTTTCCCCCTAGTCTTCCTATACCTGAATCTTGTCTCTAATTGTTAGAATAACCGTCACATCAGAGAGCTCATCATAGACATACAAATTAAAGTAGCAACTAGGTTACGTTAGCCTGACTTATTTTCATCTTTATGTTTATTTTTGTGTTTAGTTTTCTCTTTCTCTTTCTTTCTTTCACTGAAGTTAAACTTGGCGTTATTCCTGCTAGCATCTGGAGTCTTTCACTCTGGGTGTTATCCCTGAGCTTTTGCTCAAGGCTTGTGTTCTCCACTTGAGCCACAGGTCCACTTCCAACATTTTGGGAAGTTAATTAGAGATGAGTCTCACAGACTTCACTTTTTAGTTATGTAAGTATTTTACATTATGAAATATGTATTTTTTAAGATGTCTTAATTCATTTTATATCCTAAGAGCTTTACAAAATAATGCATCAGGGGCTGGGAAGGTGGCTCAGTGGTAGAGTGCTTGCCTTACATTCATGAGGCCCTGGGTTCGTTTCCTCAGCACCACATATACAGAAAAAGCCAGAAGTAGCGCTGTGGCTCAAGTGGTAGATTGCCAGCCTTGACCTGAAAAGCTGAGGGACAGCGCCCAGGTCCCCACGACCGAACCCCCCCCCCAAAAAAAAGAAAAGAAATAATGCATCAGTATATAACAACAGTTTTCATAAACTTAAAGATAATATTGGTTGACACATTTATTTTATTCTAGTTGGTTAGAAGAAAACTCTAAACATCTTGTAGAAAGAGACTATGAATCATCTTGTAAAATATGGAGTGGAAATGAAATGCTCTTAAATTTGCACAAGATGGGTATCACTTCTACTATTTTTCCTATTTTGCAGGTAAGATTTTTTTTTTTACCACTTGTGAAATTTGTTTAGTCTATTAAAAGTGACTTAGTAGTGAGTAAATTTATAATAAATCCAGCAAATAACCCAGAATTTTAAAAATTAACAATTTAGAACCTGGGTGTGGAAGCTCATGCCTGTAATCCTAGCTTCTTGAGATCTGAGGATTGTGGTTGGAAACCAGCCTGGGCAGAAAAGCCTGTGAGCGTCTTATCTCCAACTAACCACCAAAAAGCTAAAAACAGAGCTATGGCTCAAGTGGTAGAGTACTAAAAACTCAGTAACAGCATACAGTCTTGGAGATTAAAACACAGGACAGCACACACAAAAAAAATCAAAATCTGATCATCTATATAAACTTTAGAATCAGCTTATTGATATCTACAAACCAAGATTTTGAGATTTCATTAAATCTATAGATTAATTTGGAAAGAACTAACCCCTTAATATTGTATCTTCCTGTCCATAGTTATAGATTGTCTCCATTCTTTTAGATTTTCTTTCATTTCTTATGAAATTTAGTTTTCCTCATGGATTTTAAGAAAATTTTTTTCGCCAGGGTTTCTGAGGTCTGATTGACAAATGGAAGTTGTATATATTTTATTTATTTATTTTTGGGTCCGGTCATGGGGCCTGAACTCTGGGCCTGGGCGCTGTCCTTCAGCTCTTCAGCTCAAGGCTAGCGCTCTACCACTCTTGAGCAAAGCACCACTTCTGGCTTTTTTCTTTTTTTGCTTATGTGGTGCTGAGGAATTGAACCCAGGGCCTCATGCATGCAAGGCAAGCGCTGTACCACTGAGCCACCTTCCCAGCCCTGTATATATTTTAAATGTACAAATGGTAATTTAGTATGAATGGTGTAGGTGATAATATTTAGCATTTGTTTTTGTTTGATGCTTATTTTATATATCATAACATCTCCTAGTTTCCTTCGGGCAGGATTAACCCCTTTTTTTTTAGATTAAATAGTACAACATTGTTTAAATTTTCTTCATGAATTACTCACTTGGTTCTCATTTTCCCCCATGGAAGAAAGTATAGGCTGAGACAGTCTTTTGATAGTGAGCTGTACTTCTTTGGGGCAGGGGTAATGTGGACAATATCAAACCATTATTCTTACCTTCTTTAATACATTTATTCTGAGATTTTTGCATGTATTATTTCCTTCATTTTTTATTTTGCTTGTGAGCTGGTAGTGTGGCCCAGTGGTAGAGTACTTGTTGGCATTCCTGAGGACTTGGATTCAATCCTCAGCATTGTCAAAAATAAAGAAATAAAATAATAAATTTTGTTTATCATATAGTCACAGTATTCTCATTTTTAGAGTTATTTTCTGGAAATAAGTCAGGCATTTAGGCTAATGTACCAGCTTTTTTTTAAGTTCCTGAGAGAAACTATTATCTTTTCATTTAGTTCTTTACTTCTGAAGGAAATTAAAAGTAACCTAATTACATAAAGAAGTAATGAACTTCCTAAATATATAACTTACTATTAAAAGTATTTTTGACTATCAGGAGAATTTAGCTAGTTTAGGAATCTAAAATTGATTGTTGTGCTGGGATATATATGAGTGGTGGAGTGCTCGGCTAGCAGACATGTGGCCCTGTACTTGATCCTCAGCCATATGTACACACAAATAATAATAAAATAAAACCAAAATACATTGTTAGCACTATGTAATTATAATATATCTAAAATTTTAATGCATGTTTTATATGCATTTCATTATATAATTTATGGAAATTTCCATCCCTCCTTCATCCCTTCTTTTATGCTTAATATAGAAATTTTCTTTTAGGGACATTTTTCTGCTATTCTTCAAAAGGAAGAAAAAATCTTAGCATTTCAAGATAAAGAGGAGACAAGAGAAGTACCCATTATTAGCGCTTCAACTCAAATAATGCTCAAAGGACTTTTTATGGTGCTTGACTATCTTTTCAGGGAAAATAGCAGGTCAGTAATGATATGATCTCTTAAAAATTGTAGTCTAATTGTTAGTAGAATGTGTTTAGCTTATGCTAATTTTAATGCTAGGCATGGTAACATACTCCTGAAATCCCAGGTACTCTGGAGGGCGAGCAGAAGAATCATGAATTGTAGGCTAACTAGTTGATTTTGTGATTTGATGGCTTAATTTACATCAGAATTTTAGTGGTAAGAATGTTATTGTTACTATTATTTTTAAAGTATGGAAAAGAAAGCTCTCAAGTTTTAACATAAGCAATTTTTATATTGTGTGTCGCTAGGTCATTATAATGTTTTGCCATTTAATTAGCATTTTCTTTGCGTTTAGATTTGCAGATGATTATAAAATTGCTATTCAACAGACTTATTCCTGGATAAATCATACTGATATTCCAGATAAAAATGGATTATTGGTTGTACCAAAAAACAAGAAGCGTTCAAGACAGAAAATTGCAGTTCATGTGCTAAACTTTTGGTGTTTAAATCCTGCCGTGGTAAGCTCATCGTGTTGTAAATGAAATTTTTGTCTTTTTGGTCAATGCCAACAATTAAATGAATGCATTTGACTCTTTCAAAGATGATTTTATTTAACAAATTTTTCTTTTTAGGCCTTTTCAGATATTAATGGCAAAGTTCGGACGATTGTTTTGACATCCGGAACATTATCACCAATGAAATCTTTTTCATCTGAGCTTGGTGTTACATTTACTGTCCAACTAGAGGCTAATCATGTCATTAATAACTCACAGGTTAGTTTTTGGGTCTTTTTGAGGCTCTCAATCTTCTTACTTCAGTATAATTTCTTTTTGTTTTTTGTAAGTCATGGGGCTTGAACTCAAGGTCTAGGCACTGACCCTGACCTTTTTTGCTCAAGGCTGGTGCTCTACCACTTTGAGCCACAGTACCACTTCCTTCTTACTTCAGTATAATTTCATATAAACAAATTAGAAGGTACCTGAAATGCCAAACAAATCCTAAAAAATTGACATTTTAAATTTAGGAGAAAATCTGTTAATTGCTTAATAATGTACACAATAAAAGTATTAATTAACAGTATTCTATTAACCTAGTCACTTTTGATACAAAGACTGCACAACAAATTCTTCATTTGAGTAAGTTTAAATATTTCTATAAATCTAAAAACAAAGGAAAACTTAACTACTATAGTTCTTGTTGTATGGTTACTTATGTGTTATCCCTTTCCTTTAGATATATAGTGTATCTTTTTTTTTTTACATCTTTTTTTTCTTTGTACCTAGGTTAATACCTGAAATGGACTACAAGTACTCTATTGGTTTTGCAATTTAATATTTTGTTTAAAAAATGATATAAATGTTATTTTTTTCTGGAAATATTTGAATTATTTTTCATTACACTGAACTTTTTGTGTGTGTGCCAGTCCTGAGGCTTGATTCTGGGCATGGGCGCTGTTCCTGAGCTCCTTTTGGTCAAGGCTAGCACTCTACCACTTGAGCCACAGCACCACTTATGTTTTTTTTCTGTGATTGAGTTGGAGATAAGAGTTTCACAGACTTTCCTGCCAGGGCTGGCTAAGAAGCGTGAGCCACAGGTGCCCACCTTTTTTTTGGGAGGGGGGGTCCGGTCGTGGGGCCTGAATTCTGGGCCTGGGCGCTGTCCCTCAGCTCTTCAGCTCAAGGCTAGTGCTCTACCACTCTTGAGCCACAGCGCCACTTCTGGCATTTTTTCTTTTTGCTTATGTGGTGCTGAGGAATCGAACCCAGGGCCTCAGGCATGCAAGGCAAGCACTCTACCACTGAGCCACCTTCCCAGCCCCCCCCCCTTTTTTTTAAAGTTTAATTTATAGTGGTTAGCCACAAGTTTACTATCACCCATGTGCTTAGCACAATTCTAAGTCATTATAAAGCTTTATATACATAAGGCTGGGGACATTTTTGGTTCTTACAATTGCTCTGGGACAAGTATTAATATTTAGTCATTGGGGACCCAGAACACTAAGCTCCTTTATAACTAAGAGTTTGCTTTATGAGGGCCAGAGTGCCAGAGGCTCCTGTGAGGAAACATTACTATAAACAACAGTGAAATAATAATACAGGTTCCACAATTTCAAGTGCCATCCTTAGTGTCTCTACTAGCTATAAAAAGGTTAGAAAATTCACCATATATTTTCTCATAAGGTTATTATAATAGGCTTCAATTATGGCGTCATCCTAGTATACAAAGTTTATTTCATATGTAATACCACTGGATTAGAATGATAATGCTAAATGTGCAGCTGGATATTGTTTTACTATAATATTGTCCTCCAAACAATTATTACTGGGGTTTTTGGGGGGGAAGGGGAAGCAGGGGTATTCAATCAAACACCTTTATTTACACAGGAGAAATAACAAGCAAATTCTTGAGACCAGAGCAGAAACAATACTATTTTGCTTATGTGTGGCAAAATACCAATAGCATAGATAGGAACCATCTTAACTACTTAGAAGTATAAACTTCAGTCATGTTAAGTGTGTCCATATTTTTGCTCAGCCCATTTGCATCATGCAAAATTGTTATCCTTACCTACTGAACAACTAACTTTTCCTTCCCCCTTCTCCACTAGCCTCCCCCCCCAACCACCATTCCACTTTCTGTTTCCATGAATTTGACTACTCTAGGTAGTTCATGTGAGTGAATTCATAAAGTATCTTTTTGTGACTGACTTATTTTCAGTGTTTGTCCATTTGGTAGAAAATTTCTTTAAAGTTCATCTATTGTAACATGTATCAGAATTTGTGGGGGTGGGGGTCGGTGGTGGGGCCTGAACTCTGGGCCTGGGCTCTGTCTCTCAGCACTTCAGCTCAAGGCTAGCGCTCTACCACTTGAGCCATACACCACTTCTGGCTTTTTCTACTTCTGTGGTACTGAGGAATTGAACCCAGGGCCTCATGCATGCAAGGCAAGCACTCTACCACTAAGCTACCTTCCCAGCCCTAGAATTTTATTTTTGTCTAATGTTTCATTGTATGTATATATGCAACATTTTATTCATTTTTTTCAACTTTTTATCTTGAAAAATAATAAATTTCAGGAAAGTTGAAAGTGCTATGGACATCTATATCCTTCTCCTAGATTCAATTGTTAACATTGTTTGCTGCTTTTTCCTCCCTCCCTCCTGTCTATTTATATGTCTTTTCTATTTATCCATGGAAGTTTGCAAATGTTGCACGTTTTTGGATAAATTGTCAAATGTAATTTTTAGATAGCATGACATTTTGCTCTTACAAGTTTAGTGTATCTCCTCTAAGGATAAATACATTATCTTCTGTAATTAATTTTTTGTATGTGCATTGCTGAGAATCAAACCTAGAGCCTTGTATGTGCTAGGTAAGCACTTAATCATTTAGTGATATTCCCAGCCCTACAAGTCAATTATCCTACATAACCACAATGCTGTGAAAACACCCAATTCACAATGCTGTGAAAACAAGCAATTTCATGTTGATACACAGTAGCCAATATTCATATTCTCCAATTGTTCGCAAAATGTTTTTATATCTGTTCTCTTTGTATTTATTAATCCAGGATCCAATCAAGAATTTCACATGGCCATTTTAATATTCTTTAGTCTTCAAAAATAAGTTCTCTTGCCTTTTTTTTTTCTTGATTTGTCTGACATTTGTGAAGAATTCAGGGCACCTGTTGCTTGAGGTGTGTTTTATAATCTTGATGTGTGATTATTTCTTTCATGAGATTAAAATTAAGGGCTGGGAAGGTGGCTCAGTGGTAGAGTGTTTGCCTTGCATGCATGAGGCCCTGGGTTTGCTTCCTCAGCACCACATAAGCAGAAAAAGCCGAAGTGGTGCTGTGGCTCAAGTGGTAGAGTGCCTTTCTTTTTTGCTCTGGTTCATCAGTGTTTTTTTATTAAAAAATTTTAATGACACATTATGATTTCTTTCTCATTTTATTTGTATATATTCTATAGATGTTTCTTTGTTTACCATGGGGGTTGTGGATTAATCTACAGTTATAATTTGATTTGAATTGATACAAACCTAATTGTATACAATTAAAGATAAAGAAAAAATAGCAATAATCTAAAATAAATTTCTCCTAGATTTATTTCTTGATCTTTGTTATACATAAATGGAAATATTCCCCCCATGAAATACTAATTTTCATACTTTGTTTAGGCATAACTAATACTAACATATTGATATTCTAGGTTTGGGTTGGTACCATTGGTTCAGGCCCTAAGGGTCGGAATCTCTGTGCTACCTTCCAGCATACTGAAACATTTGAGTTCCAGGATGAAGTGGGAGCACTTTTGTTATCTGTCTGCCAGACTGTGAGCCAAGGAATTTTGTGTTTTTTGCCATCTTACAAGGTAAAGGATGTTTATTGATTCTTTTACCCTTAAAAATTCTTGTAGGAATACCAAGATAAACTTCCTATAGTTTTTTAAACATTATGTTATTTGTTGTTTAAGATACTGCTTGATTGTTCTATTACTGCTTTATTTGAAAGTCTAACATGATGGATGACATGGAGATAAGACCCTTTTAGCTTTGTTGTATGAAATGTTAGTTATATAAAAGGACTGTTTGTGTACGTGTGATGTTTATTCTTAGAAGCAACTTGGTATTTTCATAATGGAAGGAAAGAGTTTTCTTTTTCTTTTACAAATTACACTTTTGAAGGTTTCAGTAAAGTGAATTTAAGCCAAACATTCTTTGTTGCCCATTATTTTGCTTCAAGCAATTGACCAGAAGAAATTTATTTTTTCATTTTAGAGTCACTCTGATTTTTGGTAACTTTTAAAGATTAGATTAAAATTATATAGTACAGTGTTTCTCTTGTTTTTGATAACTTTTTGAGGTTAAATTAAAATTATGATATATTTTGGTCCTCAGTATCAAAAGATCAAGACTAAATATAATTTCTGAGAGTAATATATTATCAAAATCTAAGTTAAATTTCAATATAAAAAAATGAAAAATTCTTTTTCAAGATTGTTTTGACCATTGAGTTCTTTGAGATGCTGTATGCAATTTTGGATGAGTTTTATTTTCCTAACAATAGTGAGTCTTCTAGCTAGAAGTGTAGTTTAATTGTAGATGGCTTTCTTGGCATTCACAAAGCCTAATGTTCAATCTTCAATAGTGGAGGGGAAAAACAATGTGGGTCATCTAGTCTATGGCCTTTTAATTGTATTTTATTTTTCTTTTAATTATGTGTTTAATTTCTTTCTGCAGTATTTAATAGTTTTCATTGTACAGCCTCTTTGGTTAAATTTATTCCTAAGTATTAATTTTTGATGCTCATAGAATTGATTTCCTAATTTCCTTTTCAGATCTTGTTATCATCAAGATATATTACTACTTCTTGTGTGCATATATATGTTGAATTTTGGAGGAAATCAGTCTTGTTATAGTTTTAATTCCTAACAATCTCCTACTTTCATGGATTCTAGAATGTTTAATAATATAGGCACAAGAGGCAGTTCAGGTGTGGTATATTAATAACTAGATAAGAGAAATGCATATGTTTATATATATACACATAAATAAATATATATACATATATGTATACATATAATTTTTTGGTGGTATTGAAGTTTGAACTCAGGGCTTCTTACAGGATTGCTTGGCTGGTACTACCATTTGAACTTCACTTCAAGAGCAGCTTTTTGCTAGTTAGTTGGAATCAGTCTCAGACTTTTCTGCCAGGGTTGGCTTTTAACCTTGATCCTCCAGATCTCAGTCTTCTGAGTAGCTAGGATTAACATGAGTGAGCCATCAGTGCACCCCTGAGAAGGAAACAATATTTTAAATTTTAAATGGAAAATGGAAAATCATGAAATTGTATTTTTATTTTCCTATATTTTAGTTAAAATTTTGGCAGCGTAGGTTTTTTTTAATTTAAGCTTTTTTGTAAAGGTGATATATGGTGGGGTTACAGTTATATAAGGCAGTTTATGAGTACATTTCTTTTTGAAGAATGCCACCCCCTCCCTCATTTTCTCTACTTTTTCCCCTCCCCCCAGGTTGTAAAGTTCATTTCCAACATAATGTCTAGTGAGTATTGCTGTTGAATTGTTTTACCTTTTGTCCCATTGTTTTCTGTGATTTCTTCTTCCCCTCACCAATTCAGATAAACTTATATACAAGACAAAGGGAACAGAAATCAAAACCAGTGACAAAAGGGAATAAATCAAAGAAAAAAAAAGAAAGAAAAAAGAAATAACTGCAAACAGTATAATAAAAAAAATCTGTTTCTGGTAGAGCTTCTTGGCACAATGTGGGTTTTGAACTCAGGGCTTGTGCTTGGTTGGTATGCAAAGACTCTGCTACTTGAGCTATACCTCCAGACCCTTTTGCTTTAATCTTCAGATAGGGTCTTAGGCTTCTTGCTCATGCAGGCCATGGATTGTGATTACCCTATCTATATATATCTGGGATTATGGAATACTTCTGTCTTGTTCTGAGATAGGAAGTCAGTGCTTTCTTTTGGCGTGGGCTGGACCTAAGTATGATCTTCCTGTCTCAATTTTCTTAGTATCTGGGATTACATGTATAAGCTACCACACCTGGCTAAAATTATGTTTTTAATTACTGAATAATAATATGTATATTTATGACAGCTTTTTAAGTTTCAAATATTAACATACTTATATTAAACACCATTCCATAACTGTGACATAAGTGGCACAATTACTTTATGCATATCTAAGTGAATTTAAACATTTTTTAAAACTATGGAATGTTTCCCAAATTTGCATGTCATCCTTGCTCAGGGGCCATGCTAATCTCTCCGTTTCGTTCCCGTTTTAGTGCATGTGTTATTAAAGTGAGCACCATAATCACCATAGTTATTAAATATCATTGTCATATAGCAGTTATAAAATACACTCCTTTTAAGCCCAATGAGTTTTGACAAATACACCCACAAAACTCATGCCATAATCTGAAAATTTGGGTTCTGCCATGAACTCTTTTGAGTTCTAAAATAGATCTAATTATGATAAAATTGTAAAGAGTCTCCAAAGAAAGGACAATAACTCTATGGTGGTGAATCATACTAAAATTTATAAGCATTAGCATTTTTCTTTTTATTGGATGTTTTGTTTCTAAGAAAACATAAATTGAATAAATCATGTGAATTACAGATACCAGGCCTTGCTAAATCTTAGGCAGACAGTTTGTGATGTGAACAAGGTGGTCTTTATTTTAGTCATGTTTCAAAGCATCTTATATATGTCTGAACAATCTATACCATGATAATTCTTTTTTTCCTGGTCATGGGACTTGTACTCAGTGAGTGGGTCCTGTCCCTGAGCTGTTTCCTGCCTGGGCTGGCTTCAAACTGTGATCCTCAGATCTCAGCCTTCTGGGTAGCTAGCTAGGATTACAGGTGTGAGCCACTGGCGCCTAGCTGATATCCATTTTTATAGATTCTTTTTTGCTAAGATTGGTACATTTACCATAAATATACTTTTCAGTGTATATTCATCTTGTTTTCTAGCAATTAAGGAATGTTGAAGGTTCAAAGCTGACAGCGAATTGTAACTCTCTGCCTTTTTATTCTGTTCTGGCCATTAGAGGTTGGATGATTTCTACCTACATTTATAAAGGGCTTCTGCATTACTCACTTCATCAATTTAAATGTTAATCTCCCTGGAAAATACTCTTACAAAACCATTCCAAAGTTATGCTTAAATACTTGGGCAACTCATGGCCAACGTAAGTTGACATATAAAATTCACATCACAAATGTATTTTCTTTCTTTCTTTTTTTTTCTTTCTTTCTTTCTTTCTTTCTTTCTTGTCTGTCTGTCTGTCTGTCTTGGGGCTTGAACTATGGGCCTGGCCTCTATCTCTCAGCTCTTCAGCTCAAGGTGAGCCCTCTACCACTTGAGCCACAGGACCACTTCTGGTTTTCTGGCAGTTTCTTGGAGATAAGAGTCTCAAGGACTTTCCTGCCTGGATAGGCTTTAAACTGTGATCCTCAGTTCCCAGCCTCCTTAGTAGCTAGGATTATAGGCGTGAGCCACCAGCGCCCAGCTCACAAATATATTTTCTAAATTAATGAAAAACTAAGAAAGCATTGGTTTTGATCTAATAAACAATTACATATTGCAATTTAACTGTGATATACAACTTTCATGTCATATCATATACTATAAGGTTTAAAAAGGTCCACAACAAGTGGGTGCCGGTGGCTCACACCTATAATCCTAGCTACTCAGAAGGCTGAGATCTGAGGATTGAGGTTCAAAGCCAGCCTGGGCAGGAAAGTCCATGAGACTCTTATCTCCAATAAACCACTCGAAAACCCGAAGTGGTGCTGTGGCTCAAGTGGTAGAGCACTCGCCTTGAGTTGAAGAGCTGAGAGACAGGGGCCAGGCCCAGAGTTCAAGCCCCACGACCGACCAAAAAAAGAAAAAAAGGTCCACAACAGATGGGTTACTGGCTTTTCTTCTGTTTGTTTTCTTAGTGCAGAAAGCTATTGCTGCCAGGTGTCAGTGGCTCACACCTATTATCCTTGCTACTCAGGAGGCTGAGATCTGAGGCTCATGTTCAAAGCCAGCCTGGGCAGGAAAGTAGTCTGTGAAACTCTTATCTCCAATAAGCCACCAGAAAACTGGAAGTGGCGCTGTGGCTCAAGTGGTAAAGCGCTAGCCTTGAGCTGAAGAGCTGAGACAGCATCCAGGCCCAGAGTTCAAGCCCCATGACCTACAAAAAAATTGCCATGCTTGTAATTCACTCTCCCTGGAACAGAATTCAGCACATGAGAAATTTTGAAATTCTGGGATTCATCATGAGAACAATTACTTTTTTGTTAAAAAAAATTAGGTTTAAAACAAGTACACTTCTAAAGAATCAGTATTCTAGCCCAAAGGAGAGAAATTTATAAGTTTAAGGTAGTTCCTACAGTCTGTTTTTGGGTGTTTTTTATTGGGGGGGGGTCTGGTCGTGGGGCCTGAACTCTGGGCCTGGGTGCTGTCCCTCAGCTCTTCAGCTCAAGGCTAGCGCTCTACCACTTGAGCCACAGCACCATTTCTGGCTTTTTTCTTTTTGCTTATGTTGTGCTGAGGAATCGAACCCAGGGCCTCATGCATGCAAGGTAAGCGCTCTACCACTGAGCCACCTTCCCAGCCCCCTACAGTCTGTTTTTTTCATTTTTATTTCTTATCACTATATAATTACAGGACTTTTTTTTTTTTGCCAGTCCTGAGTCTTGAACTCAGGGCCTGGCACTGTCCCTGAGCTGTTTTTGCTCAAGGCTAGCACTCTACCACTTGAACTACAGCACCATTTCTGGCTTTTTCTGTTTATGTGAGGAATCGAACCCAGGGCTTCATGTATGCTAGGGATGCACTTTACT